TACCTGAAATGCAGAGTACTAAGATTAATGGAGAGGAGCAGGGAGTGATTCTAGGCAAGGAAAATGGTGTGAACAAATGAATTAGAGAATCTCAGAGTGGAATCTCAGAAGGACTTCAGGAGGCCATCTTGTCCAACCCATACCTGAACAGGGATTCCCTCTACCACATCATTGACATGTGCTTTTTCCGCCTTTCCTTAAAGACCTTCTGTGAGAAGGAGTCCACGATCAGTTAGATCACAGAACCATTGAAGTGTAGGAGTTCTGTTCAGGGTGGATTGGAGGGATATGGAACTCTTTTAAGAAGGTATAACAGAAAAAAAAAAACCCCTCAATGTGAAATGCTGACTGGTAGAAGTGGGAATGGAAAAAAAGAAATGGATATAGATGATGTTTCCAAGGAATAATTCAAAGATGTTAGTAACTGAAAATGAGGAATAAAGAAAGTGAAGAGTTAGAGATGACTCTAAGGTTTGGAACCTGGATGATTGGGAGAATGATGGTACCACTGACAAAAATAGGGAAACAGCAGAATCCAGAGGGAATAGGATATAGGACTGGTGAGTTTTGATGAGATAGAAAGATTAGGGAATAAATGAATGAGATTTATCTCAGTATCAGTAGGGCTCTATTGTACCTGTATTCCTGTGTGCCCTGTAGAGAGGCAGTGACCTTACTTCTTAGCCTTCTATAACTTTCTAAAATGATGCCCTGTTAATCAGAGAGTGTACCCCAGGCTCCCATTCCCTAATTTTCCCACTCCTATCAAAACATATCAACCTCTTATTCCCCTAGTACTTTGTTCTATATGAGGAGAGAATGTCAAAGTGTTAATCAGATAAACTAATCCTTGTTAATGTGTCAGCTAGTTAATTATAATCCTGCCTTAGGTCAATATATCAATGATTTTAGATTTTGTCCTCTGGATGGTAAATCTTCTATATAGAACAGCAATTCTCAGAGTGGTCTAGGGAGCTGTTGGGGGGGGGTGTCCCTAAGACCATTTCAGATCATCTGTGAGTTCAAAGCTGTTTTCATAATAATACTAAGACATTTTAGTTTCTAATGTGGTCAAAACTGACACATGTAACCAGCAAAAGTTCTTTGGGGGAGAGGAAGAGAGAATCTTAATGATTTTTAAGAGTGTAAAGTAACCCTAAGACCAAAAAGTTTAAAAACTGCTGCCTTACCAGATGATCTTCAAGAGTTGTGGCTAAAAAAATTCATCAACTTGCAGCCAACCTGGTAATGGGCCTTTCTAAATTCAACCAGATTGGTCATTGGGAAGCAAATATAAACACCCTGCCTCCACTAGTACTCAAAGGCTCTTCAGTTTGGTGAGATCTGCTAGACCTCATGTCCTACACTGGTACAGCCTTCAAGAACATAGAGCCATTATCACAGCACAATGAGGTATCAGGGCATCAGAAGAGAACCACAGTGGAGGACCCCAGCCTTTACCTGCTTCAAACCATAGTTCAAGAGGTTCCTTAAGGAGTAATGCTAACAGTAAGCATTTTAGACCCAGAAAGCAGGACAATTTGGGTCTGACAGTTTTGGTATGAGAACTTTGCCCCTCCCCCCTGCCTCATAACAGAAAAGCAGTCTCCTATTATGTCTATGAGTAAGGCTATGTTTAAAAGCCAAAGCTACATTTGTGATCAATATAACTAGTGATGTTGAAAAACAGATTCACAGGGCAAGACCTTTCAAGTCAATTTCTATAAATAGTGACCATGGTAGTAGAAGGATATGGGAGATATCTTTTTTTCTGTCCTGTTTCTCATTGAATAGAGCTGCCCAGCACCTCATTAATGTTGGTAAGAAATAATTTAACTGCAGCTGAAGCTTTTAAACTGTGAGATGAGCAGATTTAGGTCTCCTACCTGGAATAATTATCTGCAAAGTACTACCACTTCCTTCTCCAACTAACTGGAAGCCAGGGTTCAAATTACATAGGAGCAAGCATATACCTGAGGCTATGAAAATCCCTGCAGGAACCCTGTCATCAGAATTTTAGCAAATGGCACCGCTAGTCAAAGAAAAATTTTAGGAGCTTCCTATCTCCCTTGGAAACAAAAACAGATGTAGGGCACACTCTCTGGCCTTGTTAAGCAAGAAGGACATCAGGATCACTGATGCGAAGAAATAGGAATCTGCTAGGTAGGGATCCCATTCCATCGAAGAATGTTATTAAATGGACCCTCTAGGAAGAAGCTGCAGGTAACCTCTAAGATAACAAAGATTCAACCATTTTAAAGCAAGTTTAATTATTTATTACTTTAAATTCTCAGATCTGTAGAGACAGCATCACAGGTTGTCATTTATTAGTACTCAGCTAGAGTATTCTAGTGTTTTTACATTGTTCCTTTGTTGTTGTTTAGTCATTTTTCATTTAGGTCTGACTCTTCATGACCCTTTTTGGAGTTTTTCTTGGCATAGATACTGGAGTGGTTTGCCATTTTCTTCTCCAGCTCATTTTACAGATGAAGAAACTGAGGCAAACAAGATTAAATGATTTGCCCAGGGCCACACAGACACTTGTCTGAGGCTGGATTTGAACTCAGGACTTTCTGTCTCCAGGAAACACCACCTAGCTGCCCCTATTATTCCTTATCACATACCGTATACTGAAGTCAGATTAGACATTCCCATATGATAGATATGCATGCTTTCCTACCTCTGTACTTTTGCTGTTTTTTTAATATCTGAAACACTCTCTCCATTCCTCCTCTCCTACCCAACCCCTAACTTTGTTAATTAACATCCTATCCCTTCTATCACCTTCACCATGAAGCTTGCCCTGATTTCACTCATTTTGAGGTTCTCACTCCTTATTTAAAATCACTTTGCACTCTTCTTCTTCTGTTCAATGCAACAGCACTTAGAGATATAAAGATGACAAATGACTGTCCCTCTCCTCAAGGAGCTCACAATGTAGTAGAGAAATATGTCATCTGTAAAATGAGGCATTTGGACAAGGGAATCTCTATGGCTCCTTCCAGCACCAGATCTTAGGATTCTATGACTGATATAGAATTGAGTGTGAATGGGAGGGGAGCAAAAGAGAGATGTAGTCAACGCGCCACAAGAAAAGTTTAGTAGGGCGTGGCGAGCACATTTTCAACTAAGAGATGAGGGAAATTTTCATGGAGAAAGAAGAACATGAGTTAGGTCTTAAAGGGAGAGAAGGATTTCAGTGAACCTATAAGGAGGGGGAGTTATGTTTCAGGCATGATACATGGTCTGAATGGTATGAATTCACAGACCATGTAGAGGGGAAGATAAAATGAGGTAACAATCATCACTTGGTTGAAATGTGGAGCATGTGATTTGTCACATTTTACTTTGCATTAAGGGATCACACATTTAGAGCTGGAAGAGACGTTATAGGCTGATTGCAAATTCCTTATTGTACAGTTGAAGAAATGAGGTCCAGAGAAGTTGTGACTTGTCTAAAATCACACAGGTAGTAAGTAGCAGAATTGAGATTCAGTACTCTGTCTCTGGATCCAGTATACTTTCCCCTTATACCTTCACTGAGTCCTTGTTTGTATGTGTGTATGTATGTATGTACATATGTATATTTTTAAAAATTCTTTCTAGAATGTACACTACTTGGGATGCAGGAAACATGCCTTATTCATTCTTTAATCACTCTCAGATCTATTGACAGTGCCCTGCATATAGTTGGTACTTAATAAATGTTGGATGATTGAAGGCTTGTGATTTGCTCAGGTGCTTCTTCGGGTCACCTTGCTTGTTCAAAAAGCCTGTACTCCTTTTCGTTTTTTTGATTTGGGTTATTTATTTTCATTGGTTATTATGGGAAAATGTGAAGAGAATAATTCAAGCAATTTCCCAGTGAAATCTGAACTTTTAAATTGTTGATTAAGTACTGATTGTTCATAAATGCAGCATTGAACTCCAGGCACAGAGAAGCCCAGACTACATCTGTCTTTGGGTGTTGTTGACAGCAATATTCATGTTTGTTTCAATATTCCACAAAACAAAACGTCTTCAAAGCCAGCAGCTGTTGTCAGTATGCTGATTACCACCCCTAAGAGATAAAGTGTTGGAGAATTGAGGGAGTCTTTGCTTCTAACAAATCATTAAGAACTCAGGACTCCCTGTCTCTGTCTGTGTCTCTTTGTCCGTTTGGCTCCCCCCCCCCCCCCCCCCCCACATTCCACATTCTGCTTTAAAGTTTTCTCTTTCACATGATATCATCTCATTTGCTTCCTCACAATAATTTTATTTTTAATTATAATTTTTATTATATAGAGTAATATTATGTGAGTGTGAATGTGAGGTGAGCAAAGGAGACATGCAGTTAAAGTGCCACAAGGAAAATTTTTTGGGGGAGCTAGCACACTTTCAACTAGGAGATGAGGGAAATTATAGTATCATAATATGTATTATCATTTTTATTATAGCTAGCATGGATATTGCACTTTAAGGTTTGCAAAGTGCTTTGTAAATGTTATTTGATTCTCACAATAGCCCTGAGATTTAGGTGTTATTAGCATCCCCATTTTGCAGAGGAGGAATCTGAGGCTCAGAAAGGTTATGTGATTTGCTCAGGATTCAAACTCCAATTTCCCGGACTGCCACGTCCAGCACTCTGTCTACTATGCCACCTTACTGCCTGGAAACTGTCCTCGGGAATCAGGACACCTATGTTCTTTTGCTGTCTCAAACACTAGCTGTGTGACCATGAATAAATCATCTTTCAAAGCCTCACTTTCCTCATATTAAAAATGGGATTAATAATACAGGTGCTACCACCTCATCAGGTTGTTACGAAGAAAGTACTTTGGAAACTTCCAAGCACTATATGGGTATGAGTTAAAACAATATTTATTATAATATATAATAATATATTACATTATTATTATGATACATTGTTACATCTCTTCAAGCATTTTACGATCACTGGCAGAACTTTTCAAAATATGAAAATATTGTTGAACTCATCCCATTCTGCATTCTATTTGCAGGCAAGATGAAAGACCGGCTCCCAGAGTTGCTGGAATTATCCAGGCAGTATGACCAACAGTTTCCTGATAGAGAGGATGAAGAGGACTTGGCCCAGGAGAATATTATATTTGAGACAGACTACATCCTGGAATCTTTGTACAGGGACATCCGAGACATCCAGACAGAGAATCATCTGCTGACCGTGGACGTCAAGCGTCTGGGCAAGCAGAACGTCCGCTTCCTCACCTCCATGCGCCGCCTCAGCAGCATTAAGCGGGACACCAACTCCATTGCTAAGGACATCAAAACTCGGGGAGAAGCCATCCATAAGAAGCTCCAGAGCATGAAAACTTTAAGCGACGTAGCAGAGCAGAAGCACGGCGCCAATTCCGCCATGGCCCGAATCTCCAAGGCCCAGTACAACGCGCTCACTCGAGCTTTCCAGGAGGCCATGCACGACTACAACGAAGCCGAGATGAACCAGAGAGAGAACTGCAAGATCCGTATTCAGCGGCAGCTGGAGATCATGGGCAAAGAGGTCTCTGGGGCTCAGATAGAAGAGATGTGCGAGCAAGGGAAGTGGGATGTTTTCTCCGAGAACCTCCTGGCCGATGTGAAAGGGGCCCGCTCCGCCCTGAACGAGATTGAGAGCCGGCACAAGGAGCTAGTGAAATTGGAGAGCCGGATCCGGGAGGTGCATGAACTTTTCTTCCAGATGGCTTTGCTCGTGGAAGAGCAGGGGGACACGCTAGATGTCATAGAGCTGAACGTGGAAAAGATCCAGAACTACGTAGGAGAGGCAAAAGCTCACGTGAAAAAAGCGGTGGAGTACAAAAAGAGGAACCCTTGTCGGACACTTTGCTGCTGCTGCTGCCGGTGCCTCGAGTGAGACGGATGTGCCTGGAACCCCTGGACCCCCATCACCACCAACTGACTGTGACCAGAATATGCTGAATGAACACTTCGATCAAGACTCGTACAGGTCTCAGAACAAAAATGAGTTAGACCATCCTCAAGGGCCTCGGGAATGTTTGTGGGTCATCTTTGTATCTCTCAAAGGGAAGCAGCAGCAGAAGAAGAAGAAGAAGAAGAAAGAAGAAAGTTGGGCTAAGATGTTGGGTTATCTCTAAAAGATAATTGATGCTGCCAAAGTTTTCATCAGAAAAAACAAGATTTGCTATAATACTAACTCTCATTAGCTCTGTGTGTAGTGTATCCAAAATGCTTTCCTTCTTTTTATGGAAAATAGAGACAGGAACAATACTCTTATCCTTGGAAAGTTAGTGTTATAAGCATTTTTCTCAGCAGGGGGAAGTCCAATTATGAGTCCACTAAAATTATGAGGTTTCTTAGTCATTTGATCATGGTCAAATAGGCTGGTTCTAATAGAACTGGAAAAGTAAATTACTGCCTCACATAACTAGATGCTGGAATCCTCCTGGGACCTGGTCCTTAAGAATTTAATTTACTCCGAAACTAAGAGAAAATGTAAAATTGCTTGTTTTTCTCCCTTGCTGAATCAGATTTTTTTTTGTTTTATTTTGTTTTTTTAAGTCACAACCCACACAATTTTCCAGCCTAATCTTTATTATTGCATTAAACATTCATAGTTCCTTATTTCCATTCTGTTGGAAAATATTTTGGGGACAATTTTCAACTATGTTTAAGCACTGAAGATTGAATAGGTACAAAGCACTTGGATTACAGCACCTGTGTTTTTAGATCTGTACATATTAACATCTGTATATATTAAAATAACACAAAGTTTACTTTTTAACTTGTCAATTTTATGCATACATGAATATCCTGGCACATACAATGGTAGAACATTAGTCTTCACTGTTGTTTATAGATAAGTGCCAAGCCAACTCATTTTCCTTCAGATTTATGAATACCCCTGGTTAAAAATAAATACTAGGTAGATCCCAATACTTTAAGAAAGTCTCTCATTCCCAAACCTATTTTGGTTTTTTTTTTTTAAATCCCTCCTTTGTCCTGTAAAACCTACAAAAAATTAATTTGGAAACTCTTTGTACTGATTCTGTTTGGCAAAAATAGGAAAAAGGGACCAGAAAGACATACAGAACAAAACACACCAGCACTAATTCAAGGATGTCTTAGGACAGATGACAAGTAATTAGTCACAGCTAATTCTTCCTTTTAGCCCCATGGTAGGCTGGAAAGAACCCTAGCCTGGAAGTAAGGACGCCTGAGGGCTTAGATCTTGGTCCACTTAAGTATCTGTGTTAACATTGGCCAAGTCACTTTACCTCCAGTATCCTCATCTGTAAAATAATGGGTTCTATAATATTTGAAAATCATAGCTATAAAAGGCAAAAAGTTATCTATTATAAGGAATTAATGAGGATAATAAAGACCTAAATGATCTCTTGAGTACTTGACATCTGTCAGATTTTATTGATTTAACTTGTTCTATTTCATATGGGCCATTCCTTCTCTCTCTCATGGAATTTAGAACTATCCGTGAAATGCAAACAATTAGGAATAGGGTATTTTAAAGTAGAACTATTTACTAACCTTTTGTCACAAGTCTTTTAAAGTACTAATTATAGTTTTCCCTATATTTTTGTGTCATATCCTTTTAAACCTCAACCCCATATAATTTTATCTATTATTATAAACTAAAATTTACTGAGTTAGATTCTGTGTCTTAGGAGGAAGCTGTCAGGGAAAACTCATGTTGAAAATTGAAAGTATTTCATATGAGAATATCTTGTCTCTTCCCAGCCTTGTGATGAGTTGGAGTATAAAACTTACCAGTGACCAAAATCACCAGGTAATGGAAATTGTACTCCATTAACATTGATCCTTCTCACGTTAACCATCTGCCCTGCCCCTTTTCCAATCAACCTAATACCTTTTTGCTGCTCCTTCTCAAACTATGTCAATGGTAAATCATTCAGCTCTCCAACAAATAGATTCTTGGGAAAAATCAGATTAAAAAGGGGCTAAAAACACAAAGTAGAGTATTTATTTATAGTTCTTTCAACTGTTTTTGTTTTGTTTAGTTTTGTTGTTAGTTTTGTGGCCTTGTGGGCAAGCGCTCTTTGTTATTTTAATGGTTAATCCTAGGGGAAATTGAGGATTTTAAATCCTCACCTCCATTTTAAATCAGTCTCATCTCCACAGTCATTACTGTTTCCCAGGTTTCAAATGCCAGATCTGCTACTTTCTGCTTGTGTGACACTGGGCAAGGCTCTTACCCTCTCTGGGCCCCAGTTTCCTTGTATGTAAAATAAGGGAGTAGGACTAGGGGAGGGTTCTTGTAGCTCTAAAACTAAGATCCCTTCTCAGTAACTGGACCACTACCAACTTAAGACTATAATTTGAGGTAGTTATTCAATTTTCTCTGCCTTCCCTTTTTTGCACATATGTATTTTTATGAACAATTTGTATGAAAACCTATTGAAAAGTAAATTCTGTTTATACCATTGCATATTCTATTCCAAACTTTGTTTATGTCACTACATGTAGTTTTATATAGTTGTAATTAGTGTTTGCAATTCTGCTTTTTTTCACTTAACATTATTTTATCTCTTTCTGTATATTGACATTGTTTATGTACTTGTCATTTTTAATAGCTACCTAATATTCCATAGTATTAATATACTATCATTTGCATATCTGTTGTCTTCATATAAAATATTTGGGTTGTTTCTGATTTTTTACTCTTACAAATAGAATTGCTATAAACATCTTTGTATAAATCACATTTGTTTTCTTTAGGATTATTTCCTTTATTAAAGTAGTACTTTGATGTCTTCTGAGGCTATAATAGCATAGAATTAACTGTGTCAGGTTATTACAAATTGGAATTGGGGGATGGGCCAGGCAATGGATTGTATTTGATGTCCAAGATAAGAACCAAGAGGTCCATAACTAGTAGACCACTGGCTGATCATTTTTTTTTTTGTCTGGAGTTCAGTATCTATAGATGGAAAGAGTAGCTATATCAGATCCTTAAAGAGTTGAAGTATTTCTTGAATTACAAGGTCAAAGAATATGAGGTATTCTGTGACTCTATCAAATAATGCCCTGTTCTCCAGACACATCTGGCCAATTTACATGACACCAGGCTCTTTGTACCCATTTTGAGTCAAAGTGCTTTAATCTATTTCCTTTGTCATTAATGAGGCTGTTCTTTCCTTAGTATGAAGATCCTCATTCACAATTTAGAAAAGGACATTCTTTATCATTTACAACGATATATTTTGTGTGTCATAGGGGTAGTTATTACATCTAAAGAATATCAGCTAATAATGTCCACTGCAGGGAAGAACTATTCATATGTTTAATTTAAGGTTATACTCATGCACTTTGTGGTACTTTTATGACTGGGCAAGGAATTCAACCTCTTTGGACCTCAGTCTCCTTGTCTATAAAATGAAAAGAGTGGATTAGAATCAAAAGTTCTTAATCTGGGGGCACATGAACTTTAAAAAATATTTTAATAACTATTTCAATATGTGTTTTCTTTGTAATCCTATCTATTTTATTTTATGCATCTAAAAACATTATTCTAAGAAGGGTATCTATAGGCTTCAGCACACTGCCAAAGGGGTCCATTACAGAAAAAAAAAAGTAAGAATTCTTAACCTAAAAAACTTATGAGTGTGGAGGCGTGTGGGTGGGGCTGTATCCATGAGTAAAGTGATCTCCACCAGAGTTACTGTGGCTAACAGCACCGGAAGCTTCCACATTGGGAAGTTCAGCCACTACCTGGAGAAAGGCTGTAGGAAAGAGATGGAGCTTTACTGTTTGATCAATTAATGCCTAGGGCCAAGGTGAAATTGGAGGCGCCTAATTAGCATTATTATGCTTTATGTTCTGATGAGGCTTCTTAAAAAAAAAAACACCACCCAACTAGCCTCTCAACATAGGTGTATGCTTAGTTATAGAATGCTATTCTAATCATTCTGTTAATGCTTACTTATTCTTTCTGTGATTTAGTATTCCTTTCTGTGAGTAGGAATAAACCACTTATCTCATCTTTCTTAGCCACTCAAAAAAAAAAAAATGAAGAAGAAGAAGAAGAAGTAGAACTAGACTAGATAATCTCTAAGGTTGGGCTTAGTTCTAAATGCAATGATCTTCTCAACTCACATAATTGCCTAGGAAAAAGCTTTGGTCAGATTAACAGGCTTGTAGAAAAGGAAAATGCACTTGCACCTTACAAGTATGCCTGAATTTCACACATCTCAAATGGATAAATAGAACAAAACCCACATTTTAATTTGCTTAGAGAATTGGTTGGCAATTACATTTAGAAAGTGTAGAACTTTTTTGCCCTGGGTTTCCAGTTTCTGAAGCTCAGGTAGCAGTTCCACTGTGGATCTTTTTCCCTGAGAGCCCAAAATTAATCCAAGAAGATCAGCTCTTAAATATTTTGGAAAGATAATAGAGCAGACAACTCAACTGATGACCTTTAATAAAATGAAAATAGTAGGTCTAGCAAGAATAAGAATGCAACTAATTTGTGTATAAGGAATCTTTTTTTTTTTTGCCATGATAAGGCTGTTTGTTCACTTTTATGATTGCATTTGTGGTTCTGTGTACAAGCTGATCTGGAACAGCAGGACAGTATCCAACTCCAGAAGAAAAATTAAAGGTGAACGGGAACTATTTACTCAATTAAACTCAATAAATCATATGTAGTTTACTGGAGCGTTCCTCCTACTAGAGGTCGGGATCTGTGGAGAATTGGAGAAGGGAGGATTGAAATTGTAGCAACGAACTACAGACCTCAGCTGTAAATTAAATGAAAGGAGTAAATTGGCTTTCTCCACATTCTAGTCTATCCCCATAGGTCTTCTTTTCTCCCTGAATTTAAAAATGTACTACAGAACAAAGTTGTTGATGAGCAGTTTTTTTTTTTTCATTTTGATATAGGAGGAATCTCATTGCTGGCCACTAAGTAATGAAGTCATTGGCTATGGCAATGAAAAGAAAACATAAATATAGATATAGACAACACATATGCATATACAAGTGAATATATCTATATCTATAGCCACATATATACAATTCTTGATTTCTGTAAATTCGGATTATGCAAATTCTACTGCTGTATGGAAGGGCAGCAAGATCCCTGCCCTCCCCCCACCACACACACACATACCTTGGGCTTGGAGTAGAAGGGGTGGCAGCACCCTAGGCACTGAAAAATTTGGGCTGTGGGGAGCATAGAGCCCCTGAGGGGGCAAGGTCATGCGGAGCTCCCCAGGGGAGAAGGTCTGCAGAATGGGTCTAGGTTTACTTATGGTGGGAACTATCTCCCTATATGTATATATACACACATACATACACATATATGTATATATATACATATGTACATATATGTACGCACACACTCCCTGGCCTCCAGGTCTGTGCATTCCCCATCTGCTTCTGCAGTGACAGTGGTAGAATGGCAAGAGAGGTGCATAAGATGCTAAAAATCACAATTTTTAGAAACTTTTGAACATTTTAAAAGTTTTAAGACAGTTTTAATCATTGATTTGACTGGTAACCCAGCTCACAAATGCAAGATACCTTGTCCAACAACCAATGAGTTGACTACTGGAGGAAGTTGTTTCTCAATTGAAGGAGTCTTGCAGGTTCTCTTTAGATAAAGGAATTGTGATTCTGTAATTCTTTGTGAATTGTCAGAATTGGTTTTATCATCCATCAAAAATGTATAAAAAAAATGACATTTCATGTAACATTTGTCATTTAATGGAACATTACAGGGCTTTATGATAATCATAAG